GTTGACCAAATTAAGCCTTTCAGAGTCTTCCTGTCTGTATAGTGCAGTCTTTGGCCAGGGACTCATAGTGAACTCCCATGCATGTGATTGTGGGGTTTCTGTAAAGTTTCTTCTTCTCTGTTACCTTTTCCCACAAATCCTGGGCACTCTAGCAGTTCAAACTTCAGACTTCTGCCTCCTCAGCTCAGGAAGACTATGATTTGCTTTGGGCTTTACCGTCTGGTACCATGGTAGTCAATAATGGTCCTGTTTAGAAAGTTGGTATAATGTATACAAAAAAAAGCATGAGCTTTTTTATTTTTTCCCCCATGACCCTGTTATTTTTATTCCCCAATTTTTGAAAACAGTCACCATTATTTTTTTCAAAATTTTTGCTTATAGAAAGAGGGCAAATCTGGCACTAATTGTTTTTATTCATGCTCAGAAACAGAAATTTTATTACTAATTATATTTGGAGCTGAATATAATGGTGGATAACAAGTGATCTTCGAAAATCATATGTCTAATGTCAGGTATAGTGAGCAAGAAGAAGCTATGCACTAAAAATTTTAGTTTAGTTGTAGTCCTATAATGATAAATAATTATAGAAGAGGGACTAAATTGGGTCTTAAATTTTTGTGCCAATAGATTCACTGAGATACAAACATATGTGGCAAAGGGAAGCCTACACTAAATCCCAGAAAAATAAGAGACGTCATTAAGTTTAGAAGTTAGGTGGAATTTAACTGATCCAGTGAATGAATCAGTTGGACAGACCGGATTCCTTTGTAAATATACTGAAAAGTATGAAAATACTAAAAATGGAAAAAGAAAGACTTGAAAACACAGGTATAAAATGATTCACTGAATGGATTCAATACCCTGGTGGATTCCCGGTATGAATGTTCTCTGAAAGCATATTTACAATGTTTCTCCTGCCTCTGGATAAAAAGAAGGAGAACAATTTGTATGAAATGTCAAGAATAAGGCAAATCCATACAGATATTACTATGTTTGTCTATTTCTTTTTCCAAGAGAGTAGACCCAGTCCCAGAATACCTGACACATGGTGATGTTAACAAAGAAAGAACGTGGAACTCTTTCCCCAGTAATATGTATTAAAAAAAAAAAAGAGCGAGATCCTTTAGCCTATATTTCTTCCTAAAAAATTCCCGTTCCAGAGATCTTGCATAAACTTCTAACCATCATGTAAACCAGTAGCATGACTTACAAAGAAGGTAGGAGGGAATTTAATGGGTAAAATTCATTCAATGGAGAGATCTCAGCTCAAAATAATTAGTGAGTACCATGTTCATGAGATCACATTTTTATATTTCATATATGAGTAAGAATACATTATATTTGTCCTTCTGTCCCTGGCTTATTTTACTTAACATAGTGTCCTCCAGTTTCACCTATGTTACAGAAAATGACAGGATTTTATTCATTTTTATTGCTGAATGTATGTGTGTGTATCACATTTATTTTATGCATTCATCTTTTGATTGAACTTTAGTTTGATTCCATATCTTGGCTATTCTGAATAGTGATGCAGTAAAATGGAGTTGCAGACATCTCTTCATTGAGAAAATATGAATGGAAAAGGGTTTGATTAATGTATACAAAAATACAGTTAAATGGAAGGGATAAGTTAAAGTAGTCAACAGTATAATGGAGAAATTATAGTTAACAATAATTTATTTCATGTTTCAAAATAGCCAGAAGAGAAGATCTGGAATCTTCCCAACATGAAGAAATGATAAATGTTTGAGGTGATGGACATCCCAATCATCGTGATTTGGTCATTACACATTACATGCTTATATCAAAAGATTACATTTATCCCATAAATATGTACAGCTATTATATATTAATAAAAATTAAAAATTAAAAAACTTAGAAGGTATTTTGTTTAACTTTTTTTCACTTTTTTATGAAGTACAGTTACTAGTATTAGTCTATATTTCTTTTTTCTTTTAGGAGGCAGCAGTCTTTTAAATAATGAATAATTGGCCTTACTAGAAGAAACTACCTTGTAAATAGTTTTAACTGGCAATGAGCAAACAGTGAGTATGAAAAAAGGAAACACATTTTTAATAAATCACATAAATTATCTTTTACTCTTCTTATTCTTTAATGCCTAGATCTACAGGTATCTGAATAAAATTAATAATTATCCTAGGAAATATATAAATAAGAGTATAATTTTATATAATACCCTTACTATCTTTAGCACAAAGAAAAGTAAAAAATATCTATAGTGTGGTGGAAAACATAAAAATTTACTTGCAATATAATGTTATCAGTGCAACTCAAGGCAATCTACCACAGGTCATGAAATTCAGAAAAGAAAGATCTCACCAAGTTTGTGGTGGCAGATGGACTCAAGAAAGCATTCTAGAAAGAAGTGATGTCCTTGATGAGTCTTAAATGATTAAAGTAAATATCTGACTACATTGAGTAAGACAACACTTCATAAAGAAGGAATAACATGAAAAATTATAAAGACACACCAAGGGAAACTTCCATTAATGTGTTTACAGTGCAACATGAAAGTTAAACAGAGAAAAAAGGAGGCATGTATTCATTTTCTTATTTGAAAGTAATTTTCTAGGAGATTTAAGGTTATAAAGATATTTGCAGTTTAGATAGATTATACAAGGGGGATGATTTTTAGGAAAATCCATCTTAAAGTAAAAAATACACTCAGAATCAAGAGATGGTTACCTGTAATTAAAGCCCAAGTGACAGGTGTCATATAGACACCTATCTATATGAATAAATACTTAGTAAATTGTTATAAATTGTTATAAATAAATACTTAGTAAAATCTCTAGGACATGGTGATTGACTATATGTGGGAGAAGCTGGAGGTGAAAGTAATAAACAACTGTCAGGTTTAAACTTGTGTGACTGAGCTAATGGAAGTGTAAGGAGATATGCCAAAGAATAGTCAGACAGAGGAAGAATGAAGAAGTGTTCAGTGTGATTGAATTTGACTTTGAGGTATTCATATAGAACTCAGGTAAAGTCTCAGTGAGGAAGTCTAGGCTGGGGTAAATTTTAAGATTCATACCATATTGAAGATTGTAAAAACCATAAAAATAATAAGTTCAGCTTTGGAAGAAAATATAGAATTTTAAAAGAGGAGGATCAAGGATGAAACTCTAGGGGACATGAGAGTTTAGAATATGAGGGCAGAAAAGAAACACAAATAAGAAAAAATGTATTACTGTGTGAGGAATGAAATAGGAGGGCCATTAAATTATGGAAACATAACCTTTCTAACAAATATTCCTAGGAGAACTTGATACCCACATGCAAACAATGGAGCTGAGCCCCTCCTTCACAAATATGCAAAAGTTGGACCACAGACCTATCTTTAAGATCTAAAACAGTGAAAATCTTAGAAGAAAACAAAGGCATACATATTCATAACCTAGTGTGAGGCAAAGCTGTCTTAGATACAACCTCAGGAGCATAATCCTAAAATTAAAAGTAGGTGAATTGACCTTTATCAAAATTAAAAATATTTGTGCTGCAAATGACACCAACAGGAAAGGAAAAAGACAATCCATGGATTAGGAAACATTTGCAAATCACATATCTAAGCGGGATTTATACCCATTATATAGACAGAACCCTTACTATACAAAAATAAAACTCAAAAATTAATTGAAAAAAACAATTTAATAAATGTATCTTCAAAAATGTATTTGAATAGCTGGTACACACATGAAAATATGTTGATCATGATTATCAGATAGATGCAAATAAAAACAATAAGACTTCATATCGGCTAAGATGACTATAATAAGAAAATGATAGATAAATAATTGTAACTAACAAGCTTAAGGTTGTAAAGAAATCAATACTTTCATATATTACTAATGAAAATGTAGAATGGTGCAACTATCTTGAAGAAGAGTTTGGCAGTTTCTCAAAATGTAAAACATAGAGTTATTGTATGATCCAGGAATTCCACTTCTAGGTATATATCTAAGAGAACTGAAAACAGATGTTCACACAGAAACTTTTATGTGAATGATCATAGCAGAGTTTTTCATAATAGCAAAAGTATGAAAACAACCATAATATACATTAACTGATGGATGGATAAACAAAATGTTGAATATCCATACAATAGAATATTATTCAGCAATAAAAAGAAATGAAGTAATGATATATGCTCTAATACAGATGAATTTTAAAACATGAATGTGAAAGAGAGTAGTCATATGAAACCAGATACAGTATGATTTAATTTATATGAAATGTCAGGATTTGGGTCCATCCATAAAGAGAGAAATTAGATTGGTGTCTGCGGAGGGTCAGGAGAAGGGATAAATTGGGGACGAGTGAGTGATTACTCGTAGGTACAGCATTTCTTCTGGGAATGATGAAAATGTTCTGGAATTATACAATGATGATGATTTCATAATCTGTGGATGTGTATAAAAACACTAAATTACACACTTTAAAATGGTGAAGTTTTTAGTACCTGAATTAAATATCAATAAAGCTGTTTTTAAAATAGCTTCTATATCTCCTAATCCTAGCACTTTATAGAGACTCAGCACAACTGCTTGGCTTTTTTTGATATTATTGATCAGACTTGGGTACAGTTACTACAAACAATGCTTGCTGACTCCAGTGTTAGAGCTCAGCATAGGATAAGTAGTTTAAGATAAGAGAATTGCTATCTGTACTGCTGTATCTTTAAAATTCATTTACTAATTCTCCAAAGCCACAAAATTTATTCTGAATTTAAGCTTTTATGTGACAATGTGGACAGAATGTTATGGGTGATGGAGATTCCTAGTTTTGTAATTTTCCTAGAAGAAAAGACTTCTGCTGAGAGACACATCTGTACTTGAATTCAGAATAATACTTCAATTCTCTAAATCTGTGGGAGTTTCCAGAATCTCACTTATGCTCACCTTTCAAGATGTACTTCACTAATATGTTACTCTCATGCCCTTCCAAGTTAGATGTCTTTTGGGGAGATTTTTTTTCCTTTGTGGCTTGCAGTAAATGCACAAAGGTCAACAAACTTTGTGGTTCTTTATAGATATACAATATAGATACAGTGTAAACAAAGTTCATTCTGATTTTTTTTATTCATTGATATTAGGTAATTTGATTGTTTTATATGTCTAATTGAAAGCAATAAAACTTAGGTTGGGGAAAGTTTTTTCTTACATGTGTATAATTTTTTTTTCTCAAGTAAGAATACATTTTGAAGTACTGTAGACTGAATTTGAATGTCATCACCACTATATAAGTCTCTGAGTGACCTTGAGCAAGTTACTAAACTACTCTGAACCTGTCACCTTAACTGAAAAAGATAAAAATAATAGAAATAACTACCACATTTGGTTTCTATGATTAGCACATAAGATAATGGTGTAAAGTTGTTATATAAAAATATGTTCTACAAATATGAGTGTTATTTCCTGTTGTATACAGTTAAAAAAAAGTACCAAGTAGCCTTATGTCTTTGTTGAGTAGACAACTCAAGTAATCTCCTTCAAAGTGAGCAGGGAATCTATTGTTAGAAAACCCTGGCAGGAGCAAACTAGAGTATATTTTACTTGGAATCAGAGTTCTATTTTAGAAAAGTGTAGTGTCATGTTTTTTCTTTGTAAATGATATGCAATTCACATGTTAATTTGTATATGCCTATTTATTAGGCATATACAAGATCCATAATGTTGTGGATCTTATTATTATTGCCCAACAGGTGAATATTCACTTTTCAAAACTTATTACCCATCTAGTTTAGCAGCTCAAGATTTTGAAGCAAATCTATATTATATGCATGTGTTAACCTTCAATCCCATTAAAAAAAAAAAACAGTAAATTAGATGGTTAAACTTTTAGACTTGCATCCTCTTTAAAATAAAGCTTTATAGCAAATGCATTTTCCCTGCAAATGTCTTCGAAAATGAGATTGCAGAGGATGTATCATCTAAATGTTTCTATAAAGAACTTGCCCCTGAAATAATTGGAACATGACCTGAACCCGTTGGATAGGAATTCCTGGACACAGCTGTCCATTATCTTTTGGGACTTTGGTGCACCTCACCCTTTACTGAACACAACTTTGTGTCAAACACTGGGCTAGGAGTGCTAGGTGTGATGTTTGAGGCATTTTTCTTAGGACTTAGTAGAACGAATTCTTTGTTTTTGTTTTTATATATATATAGTCAGATTTTGATGATATTCAGTCTGCTCATATCTGTAATAGTGATATTAACATCTATTCCACTAGGATGGCTCTTGTGAAGATTAAATAATGTATGAAGATTACTTTATACACAGTTATATAACCAGGATAATATCCCGATGAAATTCTCATTCTCTCTCTCTCTCTCTCTCTCTCTCTCTCTCACACACACACACACACAAACACACACACACACACATGCAATATCATGTTATAAGGATCCTAGAATTGAATATCTCAGTAGCAGAGATAGTAGTTCTATTTCTCAGAATTGCTTTTGCAAAATGGTGTTTTGGATTAGAATTGTGCTATTTAATTTTTCTAATTAAATTTTCTAAATAGAGCCTATTAAATATTGGATGTTTATGCTAGAACGTTTAAAAATATAGAAAACAAAATGACCTACAAAACCTCTACCTTCCAGTACCATCATTCCGAGTTGATTACTGTTAACATTTTAATGATTTTTGTCCGCTAGGTCTCCTTGATGAGTTTCACCTGAGGAAAAGGACTCCTTCAGGTGTGTGAACTTGAGCCACTAGCTCCAACCCCATTAGCAGTTGCTGGTACAGACGACTGAAATCAGAGGAAGATCAGAAATCTTCAAAACCCAGTGCAGCAGATGTCTTAACGGTCCCGCAACGTTCGTAGGTTATTTGCAGTCAACATTCACGGGTTAAGAAGCTTGCAATGCCATGACGGGCTGAGGGTGCATTTCTGGACGCTGCTTACTCCCGCTTCCTTCCATCTGTTTCAGGCAAATCATTATGCAGTTCTAATTAGAACAATCTTCTAAACACTCTCTCCAGAGCGACATTCTTCCAAACACGGTTTAAGCAGGCGAGAAACACCTGCCTAGGACCCTAAGCGTCTGGAAGTCTCTCCCAGTGAATTGGGTTCATCTCCTGCCGAGTACGCAAGTTCAATTATTGGCAGATTTGGTTTCTACTCTCCGCGCCCCGCCCCGCGCCATCCTGGGGAGCAGCGGGAATAAACGATCCGCCCCTGGCCGGTGCTCACCCGACTGGCCAGAGCGCAGCGCGGTGACCGAAGCGCGCGGGGCGATCGCGAGGCGTCCCCTCCCTCTCCCCGCGCCGCCTCCAGCGCGAGTGACAGCGCGCCCTCCGGGCTCCGGAGCGGCGACGCCGAACAATCCCGGGCAGGGCTCGCCTCGCCGGTGACATCACTCCTGAAGATACTCCTCGCTTCCAGCGCCTGCCTTCCCCAGGCGTCGTCCGTGTGTCCGTCTCCGCCTTTTTGCTGCCGAAGAGCGCTCATCGCTGGCTGGGGACGGAGCCGGGCACCGAGGAGCGACAGGATCCCGAGGAGGAGAGAGAGCGAAGGCAGCGAGGGAAGGAGGACCCCGGCAGGCAGCAGCATGAAATTCAGTCCAGCGCACTACCTGCTGCCTCTCCTGCCCGCGCTGGTCCTCAGCACCAGGTGAGTCCAGGAGCGTGAGTGACCTGAGCCCAGGGGCGCTGCCGGGGCGAGGTTGGTCCTACTGTGGGTCACCAGTGGGAGTTAAGGCACTTCAGCTGTTTGCATCTCCCGCCTAAGCAAGAGGGACGCTGTATGGTTTGGGCTCTGACATCCTTCTGAGAGAGCAGAGCCCTTTTCTAGTTATCCCAGCCCCTGGAGAAAGTCTTAGGATTGCTCTCAGTGAGGGATCAAAAGCTTTCTCTTCAGAAGGAGAGAAAAGACATTTTACCCTCCAGTCCTATTAGTAGCCAACAGATAACACGCGGTAAAAGAACAAAATAAAGAACGGAGATAGACAAGGAGGGAATTGCCACCAGGCAGTGTCTTTACATTGAAGTTGTCTTAACAGCTATAGAGTTTCTCCCTTCCCCCAAGTGTGCCTGATTTAAGGAAGTGGAAACCAGAGAAAACAGATTAATCCTGAAAGATGCTAAGACTTGTACAAAAGTTCCTGGACTCCTAAAATGGCCTGTTTCAACGTCTTGGATAAGCCTAGTGATAGGCGTTTTCTTTTGACTGTCTTGTGAACAGGTCTAATTAAAGAGCACAGAAGGCGATTAAAAGTTAGAAGACACTCTCAGAGTGCTGATGCAGAGACCCTAGTCAGAAACAATTAAGCACTGTACTCCATCTCTGGGCATGGATGGGACTTTAAGCCCCATTACAGAGGAGCTATTTTTAGTGGAGATTTAAAATGCAGAGATTGAGAAGAGTTTTCTGACTCCCCACTGTTGATCAAGTCCCAAAGTTGTGATGGGTTTGCTTTTTTCTTCCACAAGCGCAGCACAACGGTGGACTGTTTAGTTGCCCAGGACTGAGTCTTTATTCTGCATGCCCTTAGCATCATATTGGCAACAACCTCTTTCCCTTGGCTACTATAAAATAAAATAACGCATACAGGATGAAGATCCTTTCAAATCTACATGAATAGAAACGTTATTTGATTGTGCATCTGATGGCAGATAACGTGGGGATATAGGGTTGTTTCTAATTCTGAAATGGAAAAGGATGAAGAAAACTTTCTCGTATAAACCAAGTCTGTAAAATTCTTGATTCCATTCCTCATCTACACACCTTCTTTCAGGCCTGGGTAACCAAACTTACCTTTTAGTGTAGAGACTATTTCATTTACCCTCAATAATTGATAAATTTAGTCTTTCCTTGCAAACAAAGCCCAGGTGACTTTTCCAGATTAAAATGAAATGTGAGCCTGATTCTTCATTTTCTCTAAGGTTTGCTTGTCACTTCAAGTCATGAAGTGCAGATGGTTTTAAAGAAAGCCAGTTTGTTTCCCAGTATTATGATTAGTTGCTCTAAATACAGAGCCCATTTTAATATTTGTGGTTAACTCTCAACAGTTCAATACAAATTATGCACCACAGTTATTCTTTAAACTCTTGCTATTCACTCTTATGTTTTGATTTAGTCTTCCAGAGAAAGGAAATTTTCTAACTTTGGACACTTAGGTCAATGCCGGTCAACATATGCATAAAATAGTAAATATTTAAACAATAAAAATCCAGCCCACAGTGATTTTAGACTGTGAACATCGCTAGAGTTCCAAAAGTACATTTGCTTTTTAAGAATACTATAATTATGAAAAAACTATATAGTCTCTAGCTTCCAAAGTTTTCATGTTCATTATCTAATGCGGGGTCAAAAAGCCATTATCTTTTCCTTGCATGAAAGTGCTGATTTCGATAGGGATAAATTTCTTTAAAAATAGTTAACACACTTATTACAACAAAACCTGGAATAATCATCTAGTTCACTTTAGTTTTGAAACTTCTGCAATGCTTGTGGTATGTGAAAACTATGACTGGTTATTAAATTTTACCAGAAGAGAATGCTTGGTTTGAAAAAAATGAAATGTTCATAATAAGTAGCATATCTTATTAGTGTGATTACTCTGTAGCAATTCATTTTACTGGATACCCAGAGTACCCTGTGATATTGAACAAATCTGAAAAGGAATACGATACTATCAGTGTCATTTTGCAAAGAAGAGAATATGTTTTAAAGATCTCTAACAGAAGGTCATTCTCTGTATAATTTATCAGTTCTTATAGGCACATGGTTAAAGTGTAGATTAGAATCTAAACTGAGCAGCTTTGCAAGGACAGTTGTGTTAGTAGGGATGAGCTTATTGTCCTGCTGGGAAAAGCTGAGTGGTTCAGCCATGGCCACCTGTGACAGTGGGTTTTCTCGCCAAAGACTTCTGTTAACTTCGTTTCTTAGTCAGTAGTCGTGTATGTGAAGCAAATGGTATTTCACAGGTTTAGATCATGCTGGATGCATTAGCAGGGGGTGCCAATTGCTAGTTTTTCCCATAGCCTTTGAGTAATCTCACCTGTCTTTTATTGTCAAACTCTTTCCAAAGTGTAGGTAATACACAGCAGAGACTCTTAATGCAAAAAAAGAGATTTGTTTCATTCTGTCTTTCTCTGAGTGCATTGCCTTAATACTTTGCTATCTTATTTCCAATAGGTCTGAAGTTCAGTTGTATTTTAAAGTAACCTGTTCACTGAAACAAATGTTGCAGGTGAAAAGGTAGTCTTTTGACTGTGTTGTGAACAGGTCTAACCGTATCTAGCCCACAGCAACTATCCTGTCTTTTAAATCGACATTTTTGAATAGAAAATAACCCTGCCTTTTAAATAGACATTTTTGAATAGCTTTCTCTTTTTGTTTGTTCCTCCTCCTCACCTTTTCTGAAGCAACTTTAGATTCTGAAGCATAAAATCCCATAATTTAATCACAGCGAACATCAATGGCCCCCAATCAGACTTAATGTATTTGTCCTGAAAGAAAACGAAATGTTCACTTTACACAAAAGCCAAGTATTTTTCTCTGTTTTACTGGTAAACCCCACAGAGTTTAAAAAAGCAAAGAAAAAGAGCTGTTTAATTTCCTGGCATATGGTCTCTCCTGTTTAGAAAGTGCATATAAATTACAAAAAAAATCAAGTTAATGATATGAATAATGTAACTAATACAGAAACTCATTTAAACTGTACACAAATAAATGTGGTCAAAGAAAGCAAACATGTTGGTTTAATAGCTTTGAAGAAGAATGACTGTACTTTTAAGATAGCCTTGTTGTATAGTATTAAATTGCTATTCCAAGATAGCCAGTAATTCACTTCAGAAAGAAGTAGTATAGGTATTGAAAGTAATGGTAGGGTGAAAAATTCTTTAGAAGTTCTTGGTGAAAAGGAACCCATGGAGTGCTGGAGAAGGCTTGTGCTTTATTCTGCTGAACCTCTGTTCCTTTATGCTGTGGTTATACTCTTGATGCCTTTGGATTGTTAACTTTTAAATGACTTAATAGGGAGAGAGACATGGCAGGGGAGGAGTGAAGGTCTACTGACTTCTGGTGGTTTTCCATGAAGCCAGAACTTTGAGCAGATGATGGGTTATAGTCCTCCCAATAGGAGTCACCTTAGAGGTCTCTCCTGGGCCCTCTGATCAGCAGTCACACTACATGTTTATTTTGGAATCTTTTTAGATGATACTATATATTGAAGATGCCCCAGACTATTTGTTCCATGAATTAAACTAACCTCAAGTTCAACTTGATTTGTAGAATAAAGGACAAGAATCACAATGAGAACACAATAAACACAATGAGAACACACAACAAATATGTCTACCCAAATAAATTTGATGCAAGAAGCAGTCTTACCTTAACCCTCCTGAAATAGTTTGAGACAATATGAGTTTGTTTCCTAAGTCCTGTGCACAGTGTCTGCCACACATGACATTTTATAGGATGCTACCTACATTCCTTTATTTGTGATAAAAATTGTACCTTCCATGTAAATGAGATAGAGGAATGGCTTTCTTAAGAAGATATTAACACACAAATATTCTGACTTCCCGAATTGCAGTTTTGGACCTTGGTTGACTATTTCCAATAGCAGTTTTAAAAAATGACTTATCTGGTTATTATCTTTGTGGATTGAATTTTCTCCATGATTAATGATAGGGACACCTCAAATATTTGATTTGTCTGTACAGTTGTACTTAACCAAACTCCATGTAATTGAAAGGAAGAACTTGACCTTCTAACCAGGAAGCAAAGATCACTGAAACCACTGAGGAATGCGTGATTCTAATGAAATAATGTTTTCTCATGTGTGTTATAAGAAACTATGTGTGCAGCTGTTTCTCAGTGACTTCTAGAAGATTTGCTAAAATCCCTTTTACAAATGGTGCTAAATCATTTAAGTAACCTGATTAAACAGGTACTGTTTAAAATTATGGTTCCTTTTCTGAGAAATCCAAAAAGACTCTCTGAACTTGTCTTCATCCCTGTAGACATGTCTTTGATGTTTCATTATCATGCATTAACAATATGTCTGCTATCAGTCAGTTATTGCATGAACCATCAGGACAACAAAACAATAGATTAGTTGTATATATCCATAATCTAATCATATACACAAATCATTGTATGTAAAACAAAATTGGGTAAATAACAAAATTTTACACAAATTTCCAAGTGTGAATGAAGGAAAGAGTATTTAATGCCAATTAAGGGGTGTCCAGGGCAACTTCTATTTTCCAAGGATATTGAGAAGAAAAATATTTTGTAATCAACCTCAATATCCTGCCACACTTACTATATGTTATTAGGTAAGCTTCTTATCCTCTCTATCCAGTTTTCTGATGTAGAACACAGACCTTCTCATAACATCTACTTGAAAAGGTAACAGCCCTCAATTGTAAGGACTGAATGAGTCCATCTATGGAAAGAGTTTAGCATATTCTCCGGAACACAGTAAATACTCAACAGAGGTTAGCCTGTACAGTTATTATGGTGCTATTAATATTCATGAACTCTTTGTGATTTATTTGGCCATAGCAGAAAAAAGAAAATTATATAGTTACAAATCAATTAGGTGACATGAAATTAACAAGAAGCATAGTCATCATCCAAAAAAAAAAAAATGATTGGTA